TTGGCTCCTATACCATAATGGCTAAGCCAATGAAAAGTCTTAAATTGCATTATCCAATGATCCAGTTTTTAATAATGAAAGAATAAACTCATTCACTTTTTGGTATATGTGTGGGATATACTAAAAAAAAATTATTCACTCAGTGTCTGTGAAAGTGTTAGATATTTACTTCCACTTCAGTGAATAATTGTTAATTATCATGATGTTGATATAAATTATTTTGAGCTAGTCTGACTTATGCTCCCACAGGCAAAAAGAGGATTGAGTTGAGCTACAACAGCCATAAAATCTGATACAAAACAGAACAACTTGAAAAGTTCTAACTCTACTGATGTTAAAATTTTAAAATTTTAAATTTTAAAAATAAAACAAGTAAATTGTAAAGTCCCTCTGAATTCATGGAAGGTGAAAAAAGGAAATTCTAAATAAAACTCAATATTTTGATGGCAAATGAATTCACACACTGACCAAATGACATTTATCCCCTGACAATTTTTGGACATAAATCTTTTTTTATATTCAATTTATAATATTGCCTAAGGCCTCAGTAATTTTGTTTAAAGATTATCACAGTTAAAGAAGCTTTTCAGCCTTTTCCAAGGTTAGATACACAGTAACATGACTTAACAAATTCACATCCTGTCTTTTTTTCTTTTGGCTAGAGATCAAAAAATAAAAAGCTTGACCTCTAGATGCATTCGGAATCCACAGAAATGTACTTTGAGTACATTTGTCACTAACCTCTGACACTTAAATTGCTAGTAAACAGGGCAACAAATTGTCAAGCAGCTAGCTACACAAGCTGAAAACTCAGTCTTCCACAACATGAGTTCCCATCTAAATAAGAAAATTTATCTTATCTGTCAAATTTCAAACTGCTTAAAATTAGCAGGCTGATACACAAGGATTAAAATACTAATATCAAAAAGCATCTGAGCACACGGATCAAATTTAAAGTAAATCTCCTATTTTCTTATCACTGAAAAAAAAAAGCCTACAATTAATGCCACTCTTGACTTATCAGATCACCTAGCTATTTGCCTATGAAAACAAGAAACCATCACAAGACAAGGTTCATTGCTTACCACACCAGCCACTCCTTCAGGTTTCAACAGAAAGCTTACAATCTTCTTGTCATTTTTATTCAAAACCACAACAGGAAGACCCAGCTTCACAAAAGAAAGATCTTTCAAAGACTTCTCACTGGCCACCACAACCTTGAGTTTCCTTGATACATATTTGTCTCCTGTAGCACAACGTAAAACATCACAGAGTGTGCTTGTCTCCTCAATTGAGATCCATTTAGGTCCATAAACAATCTTTTCTTGGCATGATACTCTCACACAAAACAAAAACATCACATTCAGATCGTGCAGTACATGAATTTTCCTCCCTTGGCAACCAAGCACATCGAGCAAAAAATCCTGAATTCAATTTTAAAGCATTGATTCCTTTTGTAGAGATCAGTAAAGAACTACATTACAAATAGAAGCTGGTAGCTGCTTCATTATAATTTAATACCATTTGTAAGGTAGTGATCAGGCAAGAAGATTTTAGTCAGGTCAATTCAAAATAAACACAAAATTGTCTGGAAGTGTGTTGATAATCCTCTATCTTTAAAAAGAAAAATTTACAGCAAGAACTCACAAATTTGAGGAAAAACGTAAATGTCAAAATCTACACCAAATTTACATATCAGCTGATCTTTGAATGAATTAGAATTTGTCTCAGACAAATGAATCAAGAAATTTGAATTTTCATCAATGTTTTGTACATGAAATCAACGATCAAAATTAAAAGTTTGAGGAAAAAAACTCTTGTGACCACAAAGTGAGACAAGAGGCAGCCAAATATTTTGGTAGAATCTTCCTTTCCACACTAAAATGTCACCAAACCACACTCTCAGATTAGACTCTTGGCCTCTAAGCAAACAATGGCCTTACTTTAAACCTTTCATATGCTAATTAACCATTTCTAACTCTTAGCATTTCTTTATTGGCCCAACAGGGCTTAAAGACTAGATCAGAGCATAAATAAAAACTCAAGAATGACAGATATGGCTTTAATTTAATAAAATACAACAGATTCTAGCTCAGTAAATGAGGGAATAGCATGACATAATTCATTTCTTGCTTCAGACTTGCTTCAAAGTAACTTTGATTTGTCCTGACTGTGACCACCACTGATTCCACCAGTGACACCTGCATGTTTTACCATAACACCTGCTGGGGCCAAGCCTATGCTTAATGTAAACAAATCCCACAATGCACTATAGGTGGCTAAACCACAAATAAGCTACTGAATAAACTGTCATGTTCTTTCAATTTGTATTCTTGTTAAATATAAGCTTTCATGCTGAAAGAACTCAAATCCTCATGAAATTCAAATCAGGAAAAAAATGCAATGAATGGGGAAATGATACACATTTGTGATGAGTTTATTAAAAACATGTTGAGAAACCAACAAGATTTATGAGTTCTTTAGAATCCTGCACTCAAGTTGATTTACTGTACAATCACAATCACGTAAAATGTCATTGTCTGGAGAGAAACTGATAAATTGTACCTATAAAAATACAACAAAAGAAATTGTTTCTTGATTACTGAGAAACATAAAATTGACAGAAATAAATGGCTACATACTCGTTTTTTGTCACAAAATAAAAATTACACACTGTAAATCAAGAAACATTTCAGTTGTCTAGAGACTAATATTGTTTAACAATACAAACATTTTTAGAAGAAACCATTCAAAGGAAAGCATTCATCATCACATGCAGAATATTAACACCACCAGGTGTTCACTTTCGTTTGAGAGGGAAAAAACATTTGCATAAAATATATTCAATGTTTTGAAGCAAAACATATCAAACTACTGAGCATTTCGGCCACAAAGATAAAACACAAATTGAAACAGTCCATTATCCAGAAAAAGTTGTGCAGCTCTGTACAAAAACATTTTTATTATTCAAGAAGAAAGCTGGTTTTAAAATCATGAATGTAAGACATTCAATCATGATTGCCAAAGACAAGAAAATTTTCCAGGTAGTACTACTGAACCAAAATGGAATTGAATTGAATGTGTCAACCTGATGAACATCTAGAGGGTGTAATAAATTTTACCTGGTGCTGTACCACTGGATAACAGCAGGGGCAGAATATCGCTGCACACGAACAGATGGACGGTATATTTTGTTCACCATAATTTACTGTTGTGCTGGAAATGGTGTCTGAAAAACACACCAAATAAATTTTCTCCTCCTCAAACCTCTGCATAGCACATTGAATCCACCTCCATTTCTGAAGAAATTTGCTACTAAAAAGGTAGATAGTGAGTCCAATGTGAATTTTTTCTGTAAAATCTCTCAACAGAGCAACCGAATTCTACCAGATCTGACAGCAATTTGCATATTAATGTACTGGAAGTAATTTTGTGTAATACAAGGCAGGTAAACAGCCAATCATCTTGTTTCAATTTGAATGCATTACTCAGTTTATGACTCAAACCACAAACAAATATGTGAATAAAATTAAAGCTGAATCAGATGAACCCATTACTATATTGGTTCCAGAAAGCATAATTTCCAGGGAGAAATTTCCTTTTTTAAATCTTTTCTTAAACATTTAGTTATGGCCTTGTGGAAAGTGGTCCTTTTTGGTTAAAATCATTTGCTAAATTAAACATCCAAATTTAAAATGAAGTTTGGTTTTATCTTGAGAATTTTATTTTTTTTTGCCTCAAACATTTGATGTACAGTATACATAAACTGTATTTGTTAATCATAACAAATCAAAGTAATCTCTTTTTACAGCATTTTTAGGCTTATTTTCAAAAACTCAAACACATTTTTTCAACAGAATTGTTGGTATGTACAAGGAACACATTTACAAACTTCCAAAAAAACCTGATCTTAATGTACAAGGTCTATAGCTGTCAGAGAACCTTTCAAAAAGAATTTGGAAAGAGACAAAGCTAGAGGGTAAGTTCACACTCTTAAGTTGTGAATCAAAATATCATTGGTGATGTGACTAAATTTTCCACAAAGTGGAAATAATTTTAAAGTGAATATTGTACTTTAAACAAGATCAATGACCAATTGTGTACCATACAGTAAATCATTCTCCAGCAGAACTCAGTAAAAATTTTTTCAGGTGTAATTGAGCATTATTGATTCAATTGCATTAAGTAAATGAAGTCGGTGCCACTTTTGTTTTTGAAATTTATATTTTGGGTATGAATTTTCAAGACCTAATATCAATGTACATATTCTTCATTATACTATTGTCTATACATTTCCTAAGCTGCTGACACGGAGAATTTGTCTGACAATCCCACGATCCTAATTGATTGTGATTAATTATAATAGACAGTCCACTGCACAGGTGTGCACATCACAGACTGATTGAAATTTGTCTTAACTTTGACAGTACTTAACTCTCAAAGAAAACATGATTCTAATTTGAAGAAAGGTTGGAGACTACCTACATGTTTGCATGTTGGCTTTAACTACAGAATGAGCCTATATCAGGCTGTCCAAAACATCTGAAAGGGATTTCTAAGTACAAACAACAAAATAATGTACAGTATGATTTATGAAATCTGACTATAAAAACTGCGGAGAAATATGAAATGACTTTTAACCAAACTTTATGAAATCTTTGATATTTCTTCTATTACAATTATAGCATTTCAAAGACTAAGTATTAAAATATTGCAATCTATGACCTAAAATATTTTGTACCTAACTCATCCTATATCACTGATTTAAGGAACCTGTAGTTCACCTAAGCCTCTTTGTTTCTTAACAGGTTTCCTGACCACAAGTTAAATTTTCAGCTATATCCATACTTCTAAGCAATTCCTTTCATTTACACTGATATATGATAATTACAAATTAGCAAAATAAACAAAATAATAAAATTAAAAAATCATTCAACTTGCTGGTAACCCACCACCCTTGACCCAAATTTTGGAGTCTTATCCCCAAGAATACAGTGGTTTCAAAACAAGCCGGCGACTGCCAGAGTTCCACCGGCTACTTGATTGTATGTCGCCAGCTACTCTGGTCATAACAGTCTGCTCATAACGAACAATCTCAGCGTTATCAGAGCCGCCTACTTTTCCAGAGTTGGCCGCCTACTTCAAAACATTTTGAAATCCCCAAGAACAGGATTCAATGACCCAGGCAGACTTTTCCAACTCTTGAAGTCTTACTACACTGTACCCAGCATTAAGACTACTAAGATGAGAAAATTATGTACATCTCCCACACTGTATGAGAAATACTGGGTTCTGGCAATTTTTTTTTTTTTTTTTGCTTTCAATCAATTTGAGGGATATTAAAGGGGTGGTTAATATTTGGAGGTTTTCCCTTAAAAGCTGATTTTATGCCAAGGTTTTAACATGATTCGTAATGTAATTGTTATAATAAAGGATATCATATCCAAAACGAATGTTGTCTCTCAGCTTCAAGTCAACCGGAAACTGTCTTACTCTTGAATCATTTACAAATGTCTGTCGGGAAAAAATATATTATGAATATCAGGAACTTTTACTGTACAGTACTGTACTTTGTCTAAAAAGCCACTCTGTTTACTGCAAACTATATTTGTCAATGACGTACTGTAAGATCATAATTCAACCCTTTCACTCCAATGAGACAGAATTTTTCCTTACAATATCACTACAATATCAAGCAGACATTCTCACAAAAGTTCAGAAAATTTGGTACTGGATTAACTGATAATCCCCTATTTGATATTTTTCGTTATTTTCAGTGATGAAAACTGATAATAAAAAGTGATGAAAACAAAGAAAATAATGATGAAAATATAGAAAAATATCAAATAAGGGATTGTCTTTTGATGCAGTACCAAATTACCTGAACCTAAATTAAAAACATTGTATGTCAGACAGTAAGGAGAATTGCTTATGAGATCTTGGAAATGAAAAGGTGAAATGATTAAAGGATGAGGGGGGAGATGTGGGTTAGCTTTACTTGAGGTTAGGCACTTTATCAAACAAATATAGAACTTCCAAATGTTGCACTTGACATGTCTTTAATAAAAATGCAAAAGAATTCCAAGCATTGAAAGACTACATGTACTTACACCATTCAAAGTTTCAAGATCATGTAACTTGTACTCTTTGTTCTGTGTATTCACTGTGATCACAGCATGCTGTTTATCCACACTTCTTGACTGAAACAAACATTTTTTTTTATGTGAACTGAAAAATTATATTTATACTAGACAAATATAATCAAAACCCAAAGCAAGAAAAGGAATGCCATGGAAACCTCTCAGCTCCCAGGGAGATCTTTAAAACTTCCAGTTGATTGAAAACCAAGTTCTCCTAACTTATTTATATCAGGAAATGTGTAGCAGCTAAAGAGGAGAATTATCAATTGGATCTTGGGAGTTAAAAGATTAAGAATAGAAATGAGCTGGCCTAGCTAACAAGAGACCTGGTGACAAAATTTGGCTCCCAATCTTCAGCAACCCTTTTACACCAAGGCTTACGAGCTTTATGCTTACATGACAATGGCTGCAGAATGTAGAAAGAGGACATGGCAAAATGGTACTGTTTCCAAGTTGTCAGATGCAAAAAATCTAGCCACAATCATCTCTTTCTCAGCCGGTATTCTTAGCCGTCAGCTAGCGCTTAGCAACAACCCTGAACATGTCAAGTGTAAGTTATATTTAAAAAAAGGGGGTGTGTTACCAAGGCTCGACACTAACTTTTCAACTTACTAGCCAGGTGGCTACTGACAACTTCGATGTTACGACAATTTCAGTTAATTTACTAACCAAATTGGCTGGTGGAAATCGAAAACCACTAGCCAAAACTGAATTTCTACTAGTCTGTGGCTGGTTCGTTACCGTTAGTGTCGAGCTCTGGTTACCAAGTTGGTTGGTTACCAAGCTCATTTCTGTAGAACAACACAGACGAATATGTTGGATTCTAACCTGGAAAAACTTTTTAAAATCCTACTTCAAACCCATTTCTTACATTTTCCGCATTAAAAACAGTCATTTAAATAAAATCTTCAAAGATTTAAAAACATCTCAAGTTTTAACAACTTCAAAGAGTGTGAAAGACGTGATTAAAATAAAATAATTATTATTTGCGCTCGATTGTAAGTGAACATCAGTGAAACACTGCAAAAAAATACCATCAACATGCAAAATAAAAACTGCTGTGATTTTCACTGCAGCAAATTCATCGACTGATGTTTCCAGCGTTCTCGATCCAAATCGACGCAGATGAAACCGACAACTTACAAGGTATGATTTTATTTCGCAGATGAAAGAAAAGTAATCTCACCTTCAGAATCAAATCCATCTGATCGTCTCTTCCCACAAAAAAATTTGGCTCACATAGTTTGTGCAGAGTGCCATCGGGACTCAGAAGGCCCCACTCACCAGCTGTCTTCATGGTTGGCAACAGCTAAGCTAAACTACCTGATATCAGCTAAAAGCGACACACTGGTCCAAGTGGAAGAAATTCCTCTAACTGCCAACAGAGGGCTCCGACTTGAGTGCATTTTGATTCTTAGCGTTTGAATTCACTTCTCTACAGGTAGCCAATAACTCTGTCGAGAGACGAATACGAGAAACTCTATTTAAAATCGAGTATTCCGTGTTGGTCAATCGACAGGTCTATATATTGCGTCGATCAACATGATTTAGTACCTCAAGACGCAACACCGCTGCCAAAGATGATTGCTGACGGTTCCTCGATGGACGCTTAGGGTATAGGGGAGGGGAGGGGAAGGGGCAATTTTCAAACAAAGGAGGCCGTCCTTGGCCATCCTTTCCTTCATTGTAATTTTGTCAAATTTCCCCAATAAGCAGCCCAGACATCGTGGATGAAGAAGAATCGTACTCCCCATCATAAATTTACACTAACTAGAAACTGTACAATAATTTTGCTATTGTTAATGAAGATGATGAAACTAATATTTAATTAAGCCAGGTGTTTAACTGAATATGAATGTGATGTTGTTCAGGCAATGACACAGGCAAACTCGGAGAAAAATAACTCTGAATTCCCGCAATAGTTGGCCTGTCATTCACTGAATAAAAACTTCTGTCAATTTTGTTGTTATCGTTGCTGCTGACGAACTAAGTTTCTCAAAATGGATCGATGGGATAGGTCTGTAGATACTTCCTTTGGTACCGCTCACCACTGCAGTTTAGTGGCTATCTCATGCCCAAGTCTCAGATATGTAGGGGATTTGTGGCTATTCACTGAGAAAACGAATAAGAGAAATTAGGATATCAGTCTTACTCGACGACTGGGAAGGAAGCCTTTGCCTTTACTTAACAACCAATTATAAAAGTAGAGTGGATTAGCTTCAGATCACCGTTGGATTTTCGGCGAGTGGACAAAGGAGGTCTCAGCAGTATCCGTTTAACATGGCAAACGTATTTCGAAATTTTTCTGTGAGCTCGCAGCAAAACCAAATTTTGCATAACTTTTCCTATTTTTCTTTCTTTTGTTTTGCAGGAAAACGGTTGTTTCTATGTTTTGCGCGGGAAATTAGAGCACTGCCGTTGCCGCCTACTATTCATGCCCACGCACACGCTCTACCAATGACCGCTGTGTTGTCTTAGAGTAAAAACGATATCTTCCTGACCTTTACCGGCCAGTTGCCCTTTACAAGTTGTGAATTCAGTAATTGATGAGGGTGAATTATTATGATTAATAGATTGCAACAAAAAGTAATTGCGTACTCACGAGTATCACACTTTATTGGATAAAATGCCAGTGGTAATCGTATTGATAAAGTTTAATTATTAAATCAATCTATAAGTTGAGATTCGACGCAACTAGTGCAAGAATTGGTAATTCTAAATGGGAATGTAAAGTTTTTTCCTGGTAAGTCTCATTTCATGAAACGTTACCAGTCACTAAGGACTTTGATGTAGAGCTATAACAAACATAAATGATTATAATTTGTTCAGTGATAAACTGCACCTGTGGAGATGAAATATTGACGACTATCCATCTATATTAATATCATTATATAACACTGCTGTTACCATGGACACATGAACGTGTATCATGGTTAATCATATTTTTCTGTACGTAAGGATCAATCTTTGCCAAAATCTCAGTACATAAGATTGTTAAATTACTCGATACTGAAGCGAAAAAAAGAAATCGCTGATTTTACTGGCTAACATTTTCTAATCAATCAAAATCTTCTCTTATTGTCTGTATAAAGATAGCACTTGTAATATGACATTTTCAATCGATTAAAATATAAACTATTATGAAGAACTTCTTAAGCATCTACATCTGTCTTATACCCAATTCACACCAGCAAAACATGTCTTGTTGAACGGGGTTTGACTGAATGAAAATCAGTAAAAGAAAACTGAAAACTGAATTTTTTCACTGGTGATAGGATTTAAGTAATCGCTAACTTGTATTTTCAATGCTGCATTTAAGGTCAACAAACATCAGTTTAAGCAGCTTCCATGAAAAAAAAAGTTGTTTTAGCCATGTTTAACAAAACAGCTATAAAACATGTTTAAGATTTGGTGTGAATGGGGTGTACGTTTCATTAGTTCACGCCCTATGCAAGTAATCCTGGTGAACTCAGTAACTATCGAGAGGATACACTTTATGCTACGATCTACCAAAATTAAAGATTAATTCCTTTTTTTTTGGTCAGCCTCATTTCCCCTATATTTGAACATACACTGCTAAAAAAAGGAGCAGGGTAGCCTGTTTACAAGCTGTTATTTACAATAGCTTTCAAACTATGTTACAGTTAAGAACCGACTCCTTGGAAAAAAAAAAACACACATGCACACACACCTGCATTAAAAGAAAGTTGAAAACTCTGGGACAGAGTCACTGATTCAACTACGTACTGTTTTAGACGATCTTCATAAATGAAAGACACTCTGTCACACTACAAAAGAGCCATTATGAAAGAAATCTTTCAGATAATGATTTCAAAACTGGGGCATAAAAGTGCCTTTCTGAAAACAGTTGGTATCCATTTTGTAGAGGTAACTCTGAGCGACTGTGCTGGTTTGTACTATAGGTTCTTAACTGTTGATTGGACAGATCCAGTAGTGAATAACACACTTCATATCCGCACCTAAAAACAGAGTTGATTTTCCTTTACAATGACATCTGTACACGATAGTTCCTGTTCTGTGGTCAGTTTTTGCATCACCAAAGACGTATTCTGCAGCATTAATCGTTGAGCATGTAGCCGCTATAATCTTCATTCCCTGAGGTACAAAAAAATTAAAAAAGTTGGTCTTGAGAAAGGAAACCTGAATTTGGTTTTTACTAAAAGGTTACCGCTTTAAGTTCAGGATTCTGGTACGAGACTCAGATTGAAAATATCAGATAAGAGTGCTCGTAAAAATTCAGCCATCACCTTGACAAACCTAAAATAATAGATCTCCATCGCCTGCGGTAGCTTAGTGATGTGTAGATATCATATTCAACGATATCCCGCGGCTTACAAATGCTACAACTGCACGTAGACTTCTTTAATATTCTATATCCTACCGGGTGTTCATCTTCCCGCAGAATGACTTTAGAATCAGCCGACGCCCCAGCTGTCTGCGCGACTTCCTTCTTGTTCTTGTACTGACAAAGGCTCATATTTCCAGGCCCAGGAATTCCCTGTGGTCCAGGAGGACCCGGTGGTCCAGCGATACCTCCTCCTCCAGCTTGTGATGCATTGACACCGGGAGGGCCTCTGGGGCCAACCAAGCCTGGTGGCCCAGGCAAGCCTTGAGAGCCATTGAAGCCTCTGGGTCCCATCGACCCCTGAAGACCCCGTGTACCCTGTTGGCCGTTTACGCCAGGAGGTCCAATTGGTCCTTGAGTCCCATTGTGGCCCCTGGGCCCCTGTGCACCCACTGGGCCCGGGCTACCAACTCCTGGTGGTCCTCGAGGCCCTTGTACTCCAGTATCACCTTTCTCGCCTTGAAGGCCAGGTTCCCCAGGAGGTCCAGGTGGTCCGGGGGGGCCGGGAGGTCCGGGAGGTCCGGGTGACCCGGCTTGCTGGGGTTTTTCTATTCCGGTGTTATCCTCCTAAAAGTAAAATAAAACATCTATGTTTGGTTTTGTTGTTACTTTCTTTTGATCAATGGGTTAAAGTTAAGTAGGTCGCCGATTTGACCTTTTCATGAAGGATCACACACAACAAATCGATCAATTATTCCTAATTCGCTTCTTTTCTCAAATGAATTGCAAGAAAGGATAAGAACGCTGCTACATAGATAAGATTAAATCCTTATTTTTTCAGTATTTAAAATTCCATGATCTTCCTAAGACTTTCGACTTAGATTTTTCCAGTCTTACCTAGTTATAAGCCTTCTGCATACGTTTTTCCACATAACTGCTTTGAATGAGTACACACACTTTCAACGTGAAGAAGAAAAGATGACTTAAAGGTACATGTACCCCAACCAATCATCTTACCTCGTTGCTGGTGTTGAGATTGTTGCCTTCGCCTTTCAATTTTTCTGGACCTTGAAATTAAAAGAATGAAGTAGATAAGATATAAGTCAGGGTTCATCAGATTACGTTTAGGTACGAAAGGGACAGAGATGTTCCCAGCTAAGCTATGTCACAGATTTATGGGGCGCAGCTGGACCAGTTATTCGGTCTTCCTTTTCATTTTTGTTATAATGGACTTTGCGTTCCAAGCCATTCTCAGTGTTCTTGTGCTCTTAATTTATAACTCTCCCCTGTGTGCAGGAAAACTTTCGAAAAGGGCACGAGCTTTTTTTTTTTCAAGCGTATTTAATGAACTTAACCATATTCACAAACAAGTTAGCTATATAGTTTTCACTTCGTTTTTCAAAGAATGCTCTACTCGCTACTTGATTTTTGTGGAAAGGAATGAACTATCTTCTTCTGCAATCGCGTGGTTAGCGGTTTTAAAGCGACAAGTAAGTATCTGTGCATTAGAAATTCTATCGTTTTAAAAGTAGGGGTGACCAGTTGTGTCTAATGACAGCCTTAGCCAGTCATCAGAATGGAATTTAACCTTCCATGCCATTGCTAATTGTCTTGTAAAATGAATTTCTGATCTTCTATCGAAGAAGGCATTTTAACCAGATTTACTGATTTTATTTGGCAGAAGGAAGTCTTAACCTTCTTAATCGGTGTTTTTACTTCTAGTGCGAGAATTCTTCACCTTCTTTGCTACCCTTTTTGCTTTTTGTCTTTTTAAACTACTTTAAACAAAACTGGAGATTATTCAAATGCCTTGAAGGTCAAAGCACATTTTTTCATGTTTTTCAGTATGTTTGACCAAAGGACAATTAATTTCAACAAGCCTAGAGGAGTGTGCGAAGCTTGCTCAGTTTCACCTATTTTCCAAAATTTAAAGACTAGTTTCGGTTGATGTTACAGAAAACGTAATTTGGTTATATCAGCTAAGTTGAAATTGTAAATTGGGCACCGTTAACAGTTAAAAAGCTGACTTCTCGAGCGTTAACCCTTCGTCAGAGCGAAAATTACCTTGTTACCCCCACTGAACTGAGCAGCACCATAGTTTTTTTAGAAACGTACCCCCCTTGTTACAGAAAAAGGTCTGATTTCCTCCCTAACATCTGGTTTCGTTCTAGAGATTCGATATTTTGTTTAATCGTCATTTTCTCTACTTCAATTGCAAGCATTAGTAAATTTAGTAGCCGGACATATGAAACTAGGGGTTTCATGTGTCCATAGGCTGGGCTGTTCTAAAAATCACATTCTACGTTCATACAGTGACACGGCTATTCTGCCTCCACGAGTCAGTCTCCTTTGGGTGTCCGAGTGATAGTATGTGGATTCGTAAATCTCCCTTTAGGTTCTTTCTACGTTTTCATTGTTATAGCAGAAAAACATTCCAGATCCTCATGGGAACCGGCTTGAATCGAACTGATTGTAAACTAGCTAGGTGATGCTTGCTCTGTCATTTTCAGCTACTCTTTTTAACTACAAAAATTCACACAAATTTTTGTAGAAGCTCGGGTCCAATTCTGAGAGGAATTTTTGTGAAACTTTAATAAGAGAGCACAAACCTAGTTTAATATGTTTCAGTAGTTTTGAGTCGAAATCATGTCAGCCAAGACACATATGCGGCACGAATCTGTTTAAGCAATTTCGATACTTCTTCTAGTTATACTTTTCATAATAAATCTGCAGCCAAATCGTTAAAATTCCACTGAAGTTACAAAGGCATATTAAAGATCCCTTGACGAACTTTTCATCGAAATCATTTCAGCTTCGGTGGTTCTTAGCTTTGAAAATCAACATTTTCAACATTTTTTGGTCTGCAAAGAACGTAACTGATACAGTAAATCTAATGACACATTCAAGAAACTTCGATGGGCTTTCATTCGGATCGAAATCATTTAACTAGATTCCATTTCTGCGCTCTTAATCGTTTTCATCACTTAGGTACGCTTGTTACAAAAGACCAACTTTTCGTCTAAGCGTGAACGTCTTTGGGATGCTTTGATGCACTTTCATTCGAATCGAAAATATCCAATTCAATCTAAAATCCATTATTACGGTCTTATCTGTTTAACAGAAAAAAGTTTTAGTCTGATTTGTTATGAATGGAACAAGTATTCGAATCTTATCAAAGAGAAAAAGTGGATTTTACGATACCTTCATGAGCTTTCATTCTTATTGAATTTATTTGAAGAACATTCCATTTCTGCAGAGCAAAAGCTGCGTTCTCTAAAATGTTTAATATGTTCATGTATGCATGAAATTTATCCACTTTCGATGTAAGCATTCGAACTCATTGGAGGTTCCTTCAGCGCAGTGAAATCGGCTAGATTAAATTTCTGTGATTCTCTTTTCTTTTTTTTTTTTAAGCATTTTTTTTTCACTCTTCGACAACAGAAAACGCCCATTTCTAGATCTACATGGCGCCGTTTTGTATGTGATCCAATCCCAGCTAACAAACTGAGATGCGTTGGTGACGGCAGTTCAAGTGAAGTTTATTGTTCGTCATTTGAAACAGTTGCTCAGAATATTTGTTCTACGTAAGGGGTTTTGCATTCCTACATGTGCACAGGATGACCACAAAGAAGACATCTAAACACCAAGATACAATTCAAATATTTAAACAAGTTGTTAATGGCGTTGTTACAAGAAAAACCTAAATCCATTTCTGCCAACTGAGGACGATTTTGAATGAAAAGGATGGCCGTGCTAACCAGCCAGCAAGAGGAAAGCATTTGAGCTATTTGTCCGTAATCAACTGAGTCTGATCTGATTTGCGTGAAATTGCGTGCCTCTCTCGCCCGGCAAAGAAAAGTATGTTTGCATAAGTTATGATGTTTGGTTGTTACGTCAAGAGTCAACATCTCTGCATTGGTTTGAATTTCGAAAAGGTATTCTAGATGAAAAGCTGTAAATGTATTTACTCTGTACTTTAAAGGTTAAGACTGACTACCTAGGCTGTATGATGAAGCCCTAATACGTGGTTTATTTTACTCGAAATTGAAGAAAGAAAGGAAGGAAAAAGTGAGAGTCGAGCACCGTGTGCGTGTGATACCAAAAAACCTTCAACTGTTGGTCACTTGGATGATTTTGTGACAATGATTTTAAATCAAGATTGTATGGCGGACGCAGTTAATCATTTTCTTATATGTAGGTTGACCGAGTTGACCAAAACTGACTTCTTTTTCTACACGTAGGTTGAAAAAACAAAACTGAGTTAATCGTGCTGTAATATCATTTAAAGGTGAAAGTTTGGATATGAATGGTTAGCTTTAAAAATCGATCGTGCACAATTTTCGCGCAAGAAGCCTTTTCACATGATAAGCCTGGTTTTCTGTTTTCAGTGTTAGAACATGTTTAAGAGGTAAGAAGACATCGGTTTGTGTCGGGTAAAAGAAAATTTCGCAAGTGATTAAGAAGAAATTTGATTAGTGCTCGATAAGTCTTTCATAACAGGTTTACTAGCCTTAAACACAATGAAAACAGTTAACTTGGTTGAAAACAGAATGGATAATCTATCGGCCACTGGAATCGCTGCCAAGAACACCAAAATGTTAAAGAGATTTGGTATTGTTCAGTAACGGGCTTTGACCAAAAGAAAACAAAAACTCACTCACTTATTTGCTTGCGTCGCATGAGGAATCAAATAAATAATTCGAGAACAAAGGAGGTGACATTGTATGGTGACCGAGCGTTAAACGGCTCTGGGGTGGCGCGCTTAAATTACCTGCAAGTGCTTGGATAAAAAACAACATTGTCTTTTAACGTCCGGCTCAAAAGCTTGATTATTTTTCCATGATCATATCTGATGTGCAAGCCTAAACAGATGACTAAACTTTAGCCACACTATGCTAATTCAAAATTCTTACCACTAAACTCCTTTGCACTGTTTTTTTGGCATGGGCAACCTTTTTCTTCTCTTCTGGTCAGGGCGACTGTCAAGAAAAGATTGACGACGGAAAGGATAAGGGCCGCAGCAATCAAAATTCGCATCATGTTTGTCTCGCTCAAAAAGCTTCGTCGCTTTCGGGGAAGTATTGATGCAGTACTTTCATGATGCTCTTTTGAGGTTTCAGCATCTGACCATGGGGTTTTTGTCTCGTCCACTCCAAATGTCATTTGTGTATCCTCTTTTGTCTCAGTCAAGGTAGGGTAGATTTGATTCGCATGGCTTAATTTGGTATGGAACTTTTCTCCAATAGATGACCTCTTCGTTGTCTGCTCCTTCAAACTTGAAAAAGACATGTTCTGGTTGCGCGGTTAGGATCCAATTCTTTGTACCTTTGCAAAAACGAGATTCAGTTGCTCTCTGTGGGGTTTCCTAGCGCAGTTTTCAGTTCGAAAGCGACTTCGTGTGAAATGTAAGAATTTCCTTAGACCTAGACGTCACTCAACAAGTTGCGAACGAATTACATTCACTGTAATGAAAACAGACGACTGGCTGTCGTCTGTCTTTTCCTGTTGGCAAAGTGTCTCCTTCGGAATGATCTTGTCGCCTCTCACCAAGCAATGTCTGCTTTGGCGTTCTTTCGAGCTTTCCTTGCCTTAAGTAAGAAATAGATGTGGTTGGTAAACAAAAGCCAGCTTCAATCTTGTTATTTCTATTGTTTTTGACCTCAACCCCGTGGCCTTAATTAGTTTAACTTGTTTGACTACGTGATTACCATGTCGATGTCAATTTACTTAAGTACTCACGAATGTTATCGGATGTATGAACATTTAACCTGGGTCACGAACAAAAACACACGTACCAAAAAACCTCAGTGCAGATAACAAGACGCAAGAATGCTGAACTGACTGCAAAAATGACCAAATAAATAAGAAGTAAATGAATTTTCTAATAAGAGTAGTCCTCTCGCAATTCGTTATTCATTATCAGAGCAGTTTCAGTTACAGCGTCTCTCCGTAGGAATGCAGTCAGTTGCTTGGCCGAATGGAGTCAAAGCTAATGAAAGGAAGAACACGTTCACTTTTTTTTTTTTGGTAGTTAAGAAAATAAAACAAGTGTCACAAGAAATTTTTTGTTTTGTATTATACAGAACGACTCAACCTCATTATTCAATATTCCTGGCTTTTCTTGGTTAAGATCGTATAGCTCTCTTCCAACATGTCCAATGCTTTTGAACCTGTTTTTGCTTAGTGGCGAGTTTGCACGGTTCGGAGTGTTAAGTTGCGTACATAGTTGCCACTCGAGACAAAGGACAGAGGAACTCTTTAGGAAAATATCGAGGGACTCACTAAAAGGTCACAGAGACAGCAGGATAGCCTCCCAGAAACCAAAAAGAACCACAATAAAGGCTATTAGTAAATTCGTATGATCAAATTTAATTGTGCAAACCATGCTTTGTCTTCCCTCGCTGCGCACGATGATGAAGGCTGTTCACGGAAAGAAGCGTAGCATGGGAGTTCTTATCTACATAAGATTTAGATCTAGAGTAACGCGTTCAAGATTTCATCAAGCATCTTGTTACATGCGTTCGCTGTGCTTTTTTCCAGCTCCTGGGAAGTTTTTCAAAGCACTCAAAAAACTTGAGGTGTTCGCGATTACGCATCCAGCAATTCTTACGCTCTTCTCGGGGTTCTCCGAACTTACCGCTTGCTACATATCTCAAAGAACGTGCACAGACCCATGAACCAATTATTAGCTTGCGATAATGAACGGTTTGCATCCCAGAGTACTTACCTTGTGCGAAAGAACGACACTGAAACCCCAAATTTTCGTAAAATGCTCCACCTTCGTTAGACACAAGATCCGCCCAAGCTGGTTCAATAATCTTGGGCTGTATACTTTAGCTTAAATCTTACGGTATTCTTCACTACTCAGCATCATACGTTCTGTTCTGCGATCTATCAGCTTTAAGGTTACAAAAATGCTGCATGTATAAGCTTAAGGAATTCCACACCCAACCAACTTGTTTCCGGTGGGAAACAAGTCTTGCTCGCATTCCAGAACAATTCACAGGCAACTTTTCCCTATTAAACGTTGGGTTTATTTGACAATCATGTTTCTTATCCATTCGCTGGTAATCGGAGGATTTGGGTTTTGTCATGATGATAAAATTAACCTGACCCTTCCCTTATGACTCCCCTTCACCCTTCTCAATGGCAGTTACTCGGTAGTTAATTTTTTACGATGCACCCCCTTTATACTCTTTTTGCGACGACTGATCTCCACTCCGTCTCCCCTGAACAACAACATTCCAAACTCTTCACCTTGAGTGAGAAGATTTCGCAAGTGTACATCGTGGTTAACCCCGAAGGAAAAGGAAAGTTTGCTGTTTATCGACGTTAGCCGGTGTCAAGAGCCACATTAGCTATTATGTGTGTCAGTTATACGTAACAGTGACGCGAAAGCGGAAATTGCTTGTGATGAAGTGAGTTTGACTTCACCCAGTTCGGTACAAACTCAAGTGGAAGGCTGCAGTTACTTCACTCTTGAATGCCGGCCCAGCTGGCCTTTGAAGCCTTTGCTTTTTTCTTTCGCGGTGTTTGAAGAGTATTCATTTGTTTGTTTTGTTTTTTTTTTATTTCAACACGCCACGCTACTCATTTCAAACTCAATAACTCAACTGAGGGTCAGCTGAGGAACAAAAAAGGCAACTGCAGCTTAATCGTTAGAAATAAGAGTTTCTAAAGCTTAAGGCCTGCTTTACTACTTACTACTCAAGATTGTCATTTAATATTATCAACTCAGTTGATAACACCAAATTATCTTGTGATACCCCTCACGAAGCACCTCAGTTTCTTTAGAAACGTTCTTCCTTCATTCACTTAGAATTGAGGAAATGTCAGCTCAGCTTAGCAAGTATATAAGCATGCAGGATATTTTGGCCACAAAGGTATTTTCGGTTTCGATCATAATAATCAGGGCAGTTCTGATAGATGGCCAGTTTAGCATAAAAAAAAGCTAGAGTTTGCCAAGCTAATTCTGGTTTTATCGTGATAAGAACTTCAACTCGTCACTTGTTGCTTCGTGAAATATGGGCCAAAGGAATTCGAAGTTCGCGAGTGTTTATCTGTCCGCGGTCCAGATTTTGCTCTTCTCTTTTCGTCCTTTTCTCTCGTCTTTACGCCACGAACTGCCCCTGATGAAGTTAGTGTACAAAGCAAGTTTAGTTATCTTTATTTGCCATCGCGAATATTAATTACAACAATTTTACAACAATTGATGAAAAAAAAAAAATGGAATTTCTGGCGTTTGAGTGCTAACGAATAAGCCGGAAATTAAATATTTCTGCGGCACGAGAGCAACAGGGCAAGGGCTTGGGCCCTTGAGTATAGATGCATTATGGGTATAGTGATATGAGTATTGCTTGTGATAGCACGTGGGCAATCATTCTAGGCCGGCACCATCTCAGTTATTGCTAAGTTTATTTATTTATNAGTGTCTGTTGTGTAGTGTAACTGAAATGAAACCCAATCAAAACCATCAACGTATAAGATAAGAAAAATTATCATGGCCATACGATAAACCATAGTAGAATAAGGTAATTTGGTAATATCAACTAAGTTAAAATTGTAAGTTGGCCACCTTAAAGAATTTAAAAGCTGACGTTTCGAGCGTTAGCCCTTCGTCCTTCGCTCTGACGAGGGCTAACGCTCGAAACATCAGCTTTTTAACTCTTTACGGTGGCCAATTTACAATTTCAACTCAGTTGATATTACCAAATTACAATACCTTGTTACCCCCACCGACGCAGCACCACAGTTTCTTTAGAAACCCCTTTATTCATAGTAAGCAAGTTTTTTTTTGTTTTGTTTTTTTTTCTGAAGGCGCGAGAGATGAAGGAGTAGCAGAGTTGAAAAACTTTGGACCTTGATAGAAAACGAAAATTTGACGAATATTTCTTCTGTATCAGTAACTATAGACGAATGATTTTGCGTGCCTTATGTCGTGAGACGTCAGATTACAGTTGACATGTGAGAGCTGCTGTCATGAAACATCACGGCAAAGTCACATTACGCAAGCAGGAAAGTTCTACTTTAAAAAACGGTACCTTGTGAATATTTCGCGCATTTTCACACTTATTTAATTTGGTGCTATAGTTTCAACTTTTGGAAAATATCATCAAGATTTGCAATAAACAATTGTTACGGATTTCGAAGGAGATATATTGTTCCCCTTTAGTTTGAGAGCGAGAAACCACTCAAATACCACTGATCGATAAGCGATTCAAATTTGGGATTCAGTCGTCACATTAAAGTCATAAGTTCTGGAATAGCTCTTTTACAAGGGAAATTTTTTCTAATTCAGGAGCTTGCGTTATCTTTGCTTGATGGATCTTTTGTTACGCCCTTAGCATTAGAACAGTACGTTCTAATACGCAATCAGGGCGAGACAAACTCTTATATCGAAGGAACCAATCCAATACCACCCACTGATTCCGTCACAAATTTGCATAGCAATTGTTCATTGAGCCTTAAAAAATATTCGGCGAAAAAATTTTAGATTTGGCAACCGTTTAGCTTGTGTCTGTCTTCAGAAGACTTTTCTGAATTTCAAAACATGGCTCAAAACCATAATAATCGAGTATTCAGTCCGTACGCCGTGGACAATGTTGAAGATGGCTCTGGGGGTCGCGAGCTGGGCACGTTTAAAAGCAGCTATCAAAATCCTGCGTACGAGAATTGCGGAGATCTATCCCACGAATATGAAGACCCAACTCGACTTTTAGCCGTGAAAACGGGGCCTCGAAGGAAGCGCAATGAATTGTACGAACCAACAGAACTGAAAAAAACCGAAGAACAAGAAGAGGAGAAAGTGGATTACAACGAAGCTGACTACGGTGGAGATTCTTGGTTGAGTCGGGTGATCTTATTTCTTATTTTGATGGTTTCGCTCGCATCGCTGCTCATGGTTATTTTAATCATTCTTGGCAAAGTTGGGCCAAGCTGCTCTTGTGACAAGAATTCTGCTCAAGGTAAGCAGCTGGTTTTAGGTGTTTTGTTGTTAAAACAACTTTCATCATTTGTTGCAGTTGTTGTCTTTCGCAAAGTCGGTGTTTTGCAACTTGTTGAATAGATAGAGCTGGGAATGTTATTCTCGTGTAAGCAGCTGTAGGTTGTGGATGTTTACGTAATGAAGAATTTATAAGATTGTTTTTCGTTCACACTTAAACTTGCTACTCAGTCTAAAAGGTGGATATTTCATTGGAAACACCTTACAAAAAGTGCTTATACAAGCTTCTGTTCTTTCAGAAGCCATGTCATCGGGCGGCTTTCCGTTGAATAACTTCACTTCTGATTTCTTTGCTCATTTGTTCGAGAGCGAAATCATTTCTAACGAGAAAATGAAACAAGTTAGAGCGCGAAACGATGACATAAAAACCTCTCAATTTTCCATGGATAAAAAAAAAATTTGGCATTTTTTAGCTGTAGAAGACCTGCACAGACTCATTTTCTATCGGCATTTTGTTCGGAGTCTGCACAAATAAATCTTTCGATGCTTTGTGCGTCAATTAAAATGTTCTAATCCCATGACAATCCGCGGGGTACATCGTTTCTTTATCATTGAACAATTTAAATAATCCAAAGCAAATGTGCACAGATATGAATCAGTCTTAACTTGATCTTAAAGTTTATAAAAAAATTTGTTTACATCACGTCGCTGTAACTATGTTAAGAATTTGAGCAACTGTATTGTTCAACTCTAGGGTGAATAATCCCATATATTTTTTTACCAGATGTAATATTTTAGATAAGAAAAGGTAAAAAGCAAGGAAACAAAAGAAGAAAATTTCATTTCAAATCTTTCTCCGCAAAGATCGTGATTAAAAATGTCGTAGTTGAAAAAATGATTTTTTTTCTGGTTTCAATATTGGCGCTGTGTTCCTTAAAGTTTTAAGTTTTTCAAACTGGGCTGAAAATTATCCGCAAAGGGAGACAGAAGTGTTTACTTTTTTCAGCTTCAATTTTTGAAAAAATAAAAAGAAAAAAAAAGAAAAAAAAAAACCTTCAAAATCTTATCGAGGAAATCAGTGAAATCGAGATGTAATTTAAAGATCAAGTTTACAAACAATTTAAGAATATGATATTGTAAGTTATGCTTTCAAATCTACTTCACCAAGTTATTGACCCATGTTGATAATTCAGACGAGTGAACTTCGCTAACTATGTCGATAACGATAGTTTTGTTACGGCAAACTCTATGCGTAATAAACTTTTTGCAGAAAAACATTTTACGCCTTGGTTTTTCATCTCTCGTGGTTTACGCAAACCGCCCTTCCTATTTTCATGAATGAATAAATACATGATTTGCCCGTGACTGATAAGGACTAACTCACGCGACTTCATGTTTTACGGTTGTCAAACGAAAACGTGTCTGTTCTCACGATCATTACAACGACTCCATTTCCCTAATCCACCACCAACATCGCGTGATTTTGGTAAAATTCAGATAAAAGTTTTTGGGAACACTTTTCCACCAAAATGATTTAAAATTGTACCAACTGAAAAGTGACTGATCAGGATGTAAAATTGCTACAAACTCGAAGAGCTTCTCAGAGAACTGAGACAGTCTAAAGTTAATAGCATAGTTTTTTTGGTCTTGCTGGAGTTTTCTAGCCAAAAAAATAAACAAACAAAGGAGAAAATCAAACTTAGCTTGGTAGTGCTCTTGAGCTGACTAGTTCCATATTCAATATATATAATAAGCTTTTGCTTCATTTGCTGCAACTAGGAAAGCAAAATACCGCTGGCTTGACATGTCTACATCATTTTGTTAATCTAAAGTTTCTTTTATCCTCCTCCAGTTCATGTCTATATTAACCCTCAAACTCCCAGTGATTTCAAAAAGGAATATCGTAACTTTTGTTTACAATTTTTTAAAGCTGATTCAGTAGCCAACAAAAAGCGTCATGCACATTCTTATCAATCTGCTGGAAGAAGGTGTCCAATGTGTGAAGCCTCAAAATCCTTCATCAACTGGTTCATAAAATAAATTTAAAGGATATCAGAAGGGAGACTGATTGCGAGCCAAGTAAGCCAAACAAGCCTTAAATTAGTAGACTTAAGACTAACGTGCAGATGGTTATTCCTTGTTCTTTCATCAACTTCCGAGCCAAACGAGCCACTAGAAGAAGCCCTGTATCCTTGTCACTTATATTGAATCTGCTTAGAGGTGCAAGTGGTGTTAAGAATAATCGTTAAGTCTAAACTTAATATTCGATCTGTAAATGTTCTTATTCTTTGCAGTGATTTTCACTCTCTCATCTTGTATTACGTTTTATTGTGGACTTAAAGGACTTCTGTCAAAAGGCTTGCGCTCTGTCAGAGCTCCCAAAGTGCAAAATTTGCCTTATAGCCGACGGTTGATCTCAAAAGTAATTAAAATAGCTTAGAATTGTCTTTTTTGAGCTGCCAAATTCTGTGTACGATCGGTTTATTGTCGTTTCGCTGACGTGTCTGTTCGATGACTTCCACTATGCCGAAAACTCGGGCGATGTAGGATCTGCCGATGATACCCGAAACGAATGCAAAATAGGGAAGAGCGATTTTAACGTTACATTTTCCAATCATTGTTGTAATACCTTCCAATACTCTGAGTCGTTAGATGGGATTGTCTAGTCTTGTCTCGAAGTCTCTGATTTTACAATTCGCTAACCCCCTCTATACATGCAAATGACTCTTCATAACAACTTCCCGTTTGGTGAGGCATTTTTAGTTCAAGCAACTGAATACTTTGCTTCGGCTCAGATGTCACACTTTTGAGATGCGGCTCCTTTCATTTCGTGTCTTGATTGTGTTGTGTTCATCGTTTCAATGACGCTTTGGCAAGGTCACTGTTCACAAGCCCGCCAATTACGTGTAGTTATCAACGAAGACTTAGGACAGTTGCTTCGAGCAGGTTTTCGCGTCAGAAAATTTCAACCGGCCGACGCTTGGGCTATGCGTCATAGTTCTCGAATCAGTTTTTTTTTCCTTCCAAATTAACCAACTTCCGCCTCGAAGCCTAAAGCCCTGAGGTTTGGATTTGGGAATCACCGAGACATAAAGCCAATTATAACTGTAAACCAACTTTAATTACTACTTTGCTTATGAAAGTGAAACTGGCTTGGCAGATAAAGCCTAATGCCCACGGGTTTGTCTAGGAATGCGTTCAGCCTTCACTTCACAGAGTGAACACGTGCTCTTAGCATTTTCTATAAATACATGGCTTTTGTTCATGTATGACTCTGAAACAAGTCAGTGGGACAAGGCGTTTGCTATACTCCTTTGACAAAACTACTTACATGCGGACTCTTTTACCTGATAAAACATCCGCTTGGAAACTGAACTGATCAATCAGACGATGGGTTCAAAATGGGAACTTGAATACTTTTCCGGCGGGGTTTCCGCGCTTGGAGATTTCACGCCGTTATTTTGTGGAGGATGGCAATGAAATGTACAAAGTTTTAAAACGTACTTGCTGAGCTATTGTTCTGTCCGTTAGCTCTTTTGTTTTGCCTCGACCTCGTTGCCGTCTTCGTCGTGGTTTGCTTCAGGCCCCTTATTGTTAAGAAAATAATCGATACTATAATTAATCCTCAATTTCCTCCGAGGACTTTAGTTACCTACATGAAAAAGAGGGATAGGTAACTTGTAATGAGCCATATTTGTTTTTTTTTTTTTTTACAAAGTGACCTCAAGGTGGGCCCGACCTCGGAAATCATACGCGTGCCTAGCATATATTCTTAGAATTGTTTATGGCTTTAAAGGCTCCAGAGTGATGTAACTTACAAAATTACCCCACATTCCTAAAACAGGAAATTGAAGTTTTAACGGAATCACTAAATTGACAGCAGCAGTCTTAATGTCGTTTATCACTTTTTTTTCCCGGCTTCCTTAAAAGCCAGGCCTTCAGAGTTAATATTGGCTGAGAAGAAAGTCATAGGAGGTTAGCCACTTTATAATGGAATCAAATTTGAGAAAGCCGACTTGCATTTACAATCCTTCTTTATTTCGTTTTATATTTGTTTATCATCATTTTTTACCATTCATTTACGCCTGATTGTAATTTAGTTCTTGTGTTTTTGACTGAAATATTTCATTTTCTATTGTATAGTTTGATTAATTCATCTTTTTGTTTTCCAGCCTTGTTTCGGTCATTTTCGGTGATAAAATTTTATATTCTCTCTCTTGTTTCGTTCGCTGACAAATGTAATAACACATATGATGCACGATCCTCGCAGTAGATAGCGCTATTTATGCAATAGCGAAAATAAGACCTAAAAAAAAATCAGGCCTGTACGGGATTCGAACCACTGACCTCTGCGATACTAGTGCAGCGCTCTACCAATTGAGCTAACAAGCCAACTGGGAGCAGGCCGTTAAGTTGATCTTAACGGCCTGCTCCTAGTTGGCTTGTTAGCTCAATTGGTAGAGCGCTGCACTAGTATTGCAAAGGTCAGTGGTTCGAATCCCGTACAGGTCCGATTTTCGCTATTGCTTAAATAGCGCTATCTACTGCGAGGATCGTGCATCATATGTATCTAATACCGCAGTACAAAATATATGAACTTCATACACTTCATTGTATCTCAAATGTAATAACAGTTGTTCAAGTTGTGAAATTGTTACTTAATGTCTCTGTTTGAGATTACTAGTAAAGGTAATTTTTACGAGACAGGTCATTGACGTAATGAATAATTAATCGGCTTGCGTGGAGAATGCGTGGAACTTGTTCAATGGAATCAATAAACCAATCAGCGTGCTTCTTTTTGGCGCCTTGCGTGAGAGAGACTGAAACATTTCCCATTCATTAGTGTCCCACTCGTGTGTAGGTGTTGGTGGATGTGTTGTTTATAGTATTCCGTAAGGTTTAAGATTCGGATCTGTGCACGTGGCTTTATTAGTTTTGTTAGTGTTTTGGCTCCTGAAACTGTGCGGATTGCGATGTCGACAGGTTTTCCGTTATATCCAAAGCGAGACTTTGTTCCGTGTTCTGTGGACAGCTGTGAAGTGCGTTTCGAGTCTCCGCGATCGTCGTATTCTCATACAAGTTTACTGACCAATCCCCATCGAGACATCGATGAAGAAAAATCTCATCATTATGAAGATCCTACGGTTCTCAACGATCAAGTTCGTGTTATACAAGGAGGAGGAAATACGGGACATAGAAAACGTTTCAACGATATGTACGAACCGCACATACCACTGAAAGATTTACGGGTTGGTAGATCAAGGGATGATTCAAGTTGTTCCGAATTGTCGGACACACACTCGAGAGAATCGTGTTTAAATCGTTGCATTTTATTTTTTGTTCTTCTGACTTCGGTTGCGGCGTTAATATTGGTGGTACTTTTAATGTTTGGCAAAGTTGGCCCTATCGTCGAACGAAATTGTGCGTGTAATAACCCGGAAAAAGTTAGCTTGAAAGGTAAGGAAACCGACCACGAGGTTGAGGTATCTTGATACTAGTAACGGCAGCTAATAGGAGCAGGTGTCCCGAGAACAAAACTAACAAACTTCAGAGTACTTTCGAGAATAGTGATTTCATAAGCCGTGTAGACGATGAGACCTCAGTGATCTGACATTTTAATGATATATGCCATTTATTGTCGGCGCACGTACGAGAAATGCCAAGTGTCAGCCGTAAGGCTGGTAACCATAGAAATCCCATCGAAGCGTTTCTTGAAGAATGATGCAATTCAGACGTGCCGGAGGACTAATTGATGTCTGTAATCTTAAATTTTTTGTTTCAATCGTTTTGGCTATTTGCGGAGTTATCAGCCAAGGAAACCAAGTCTTGAGCAACAATTTTACGCACGTAACATTACATGTGAATTGAATGTTGTGGAAACAATATTGTCGGGAACAATTTAGATTTGTTATGCTCAAGTACAGTGCTATTCAACTTCGCGCGGTTGCAGACAAAGGGATTTCCATTTCAAAGAAAATCTTTCGTAACGGAAAGTATATACCTCTTAAACATCAGAAAGCGTGCATTTCAGTTTTAGTGTTCGTAATATCACTTTCAGATCAATGTTGACTTTTCATTCATTCCCAATGACATGTCACGGCCCACTGAATTCGAATAATTTTTCATTGCGTCACACACACCTGACTATGCGATAAACGCAGACATCAGGCGCATACCTATGCAAATGTAAAAGTTATCAATATTGGTTCTCAATGATTACCATACACGTTTATTTTCATAGCTTGATCTTTCTCAGATTAATAACCGCTGTCAATTTAACATTACTTCTGATTTCTTAATACTTGTTTGCCAAGCATTCATTGGCGATAATTTACAAGGGACTGAACTGAATTTTATTTTATTTTTCCATTGATTTAACAAGTTAAACAATTAGAATGCCCTGGAAACACTATAAATAATTTAAATTTTTTTTCATGTTATCTATGCCAAGTTTCATGAGGTTGAAAAAAGCCATAAAATTTGCTAACTAACACACATACATGTATCATTCAATTTTCCACTTGAGAACCAAAAGGAAAAAAATTTTTGAACCAGGTATGCAAATCCAAATTCAGCACAGTGAAATATAATTATTTATAGAAAAATTCTTACATCCTTTCACCATGACTTGCAATACTGAAGAGAAAAGTAACATTAAAAAAAGTCTTGATAATTTATACAAAAGTGATAATCAATATTGACAAAGTATATTGTAACCTATGTCCCTTTTCGAGTTCAGTCAATTTAAAATCAAGAGTAATTTTGTCTTCCCAAAGAAACTAGTATGTTATGCTGCTACATAGGGAGTAGCCTTCTGCTGGAATCTTTTATTTGATGTTTTGAAGTTTATTGCACCAGCATTAATTTTGTTTACCCCTTGGTACAAGTAAGCATATTTTCGATACTGCTTTCTATACATTTTGTGAGAGCTGGCAGGGAGACTTAAACAATCAAGAGCTTCTTTCACTGGTAATTATTTCCTTTATTCTCCTGACCTTAATGTGTGATTCAGGGGTGATATTGTAAGGAGAAATTATATGTAAGTCACTGTTAGAGGTTAAAGGTCTGATAAGCATTAATTCTTATAAAAGTACTGTTGTTCATTTTCAGAGGTCAATGGTCATGGGGTCTCATACCAGTGTGCAAGTGGAATTCCCTTTTTTTTACCTGAAAGGGTGTTTCCCGTGCATTCTTGGACTTTACCTCCTTAACCCTATGCCATTGTGATCAGTCAACTGACAGCATTTGTTTCCTAAATTGTTTGAATCTATTTACATGTAATACTTGTGATACTGACAGTTGCTTATCTCCTTCTCCTCAGCAGAAGCGCCAAATGGGCAGAAAGTTGTGGGTGGACTGTCAAACAGAGGTAAAGTGGCCAAGCCACTTTCACCACCTGATGTTTCATCACTGGAGGACAAGATCAATGGCCTTAAAGCCAATATCTCAATGATCAAAACATTTATGGTATGTAAGAGACATGACAGTATAATGATATGTACCATAAATTTTGAGGGAAGGAGCTACTGTTGGGCACAGATGAGGCCACTAAAGTAATGCAAGTGGATAGGGTTGTACTTAAAAGATTTGATGTACTTATCAGGGGCTTAATATGGGGTCAGTGATAATCAAGTCTTAAAATGTACAAGGTCAAGCTTTGCAAATGTCTGGTAACATTTGACATGTTTCTGGAGTGGATCCAGGATTTAGTCAAGGGGGCATCGGAGAATTGTCCCTCTTCTGAGGGGCCCGAGATTTTGAAAATTAGGTCTTCGGAAACATGATTTCCAGTGTTCTGATGGAAAATTTAGGGGGTTCAATCAAACTGCTGGAACAACCCCTGGATCTGCCCAGTGTTTTCCTTACTTATATGTTTTAAACTGAGCTTGCTAGTTGATTGCAGATAACTGACTGTTAATCTGTCCATAATTGTTGTCTAACATATTCTTACATTTGTTCATTCTGCTGTTTTTTTTTTTATTTTGCACATCTGTCTGACCCTTTTTTTTTTGGAGGACCTTCCCAAAGTCATGGTTACAGTAACTTTTCCTTAAAACCACATCTTGAATTGTTGCACCACTGTACATGGTTACATAAGTTGAACTATTATTTCAGCCAGTCACCATATAAATTGCCCTTGGTCCTTTCACAGAAAAATCTTCAACACGAGCTTCAAATCACCAAAAAGGGTTTGAATGAAACCAGTAATAAAGTCAGTGAGACAAAGAATGGACTTTTGCAGATAAAAAGTGGAATGCAAGACTCTATACACAAGGTATATCAAAGTAGATATTTACTTAGTAACCAATGGGATCAAAGATGTTAACCTACATTACAAACACAATGATAATTTTTTATTCAGTTACTGTAGTTTTTCCTATTTGTGTGCATAGCTGCTAACATTTCATTTTGCCATTTGAGTAAAAGTAAATTACACCATGCAGCAGTCTTCAAGGCTCTGAACATAGACTGCTCGATTAAAAACTGATGTACTGATGTGTGGACTCATTCTGCCTGTTTAGTAGCAGATAAGATAGATGAGATAATTTATTTAATGTCAAAAAATACACAGAGGGTGGTTCCCCAATCCCCCAAGCCAGAGGCTCATGATAAAAGTGTTTGACAATATAAAAGAG